CTCTGCTAGTGCTTACAGTACACCGATACACAATATTACACTTGTTGGTCGTGTTGTTTACTTTAAGACTCGGGGAGTTATTTTAGGCTGGGTTACCCTAACCTTAAGATTTTTTAAAGCTTCAATCATTTATTTACAACACCTTTTTAAGATGTCCCACATTGACGTCTCTCAGAGCTTTCGATCAAGTGGTTTGCACCAAGCCTGATCATAGCCTGTTTCATATTACCTTTTCTCGGAGAAAATATACCCCTTCGTTTAGAATTGTTTCGTTATTCAGCTTTTGGTTCGTATAACTATTACAAACATACCTCTTCGTTTTGAATTGTTTCGTTACTCCTGTATATTGTGAATTATTTTTAATAACCCGAGCGTGAGACTAAAGGAACCCCAGACATTTAGTTGATCTCTTGTATCTGGCACAGCCGGAGGTTAATCCTAACCCGACAGAACTCTTCAGGGAAAACTTACACTAAAGTTTACACAAATAATACAGTACCGATGTGAACGGGTACAGAACTGTTTATTGAGGAAACTTACACTAAAGTTTACACAAATAATACAGTACTGATGTGAACGGGTACAGAACTGTTTATTGAGGAAACTTACACTAAAGTTTACACAAATAATACAGTACCGATGTGAACGGGTACAGAACTGTTTATTGAGGAAACTTACACTAAAGTTTACACAAATAATACAGTACCGATGTGAACGGGTACAGAACAGTTTATTTAGGAAACTTACACAAAAGTTTACACAAATAATACAGTAACGATGTGAACGGGTACAGAACTGTTTATTGAGGAAACTTACACTAAAGTTTACACAAATAATACAGTAACGATGTGAACGGGTACAGAACTGTTTATTTAGGAAACTTACACTAAAGTTTACACAAATAATACAGTATCGATATGGACTTCTACAGAACACAAAAATATAAAGTATCGATGTGGATTTTAAGCTAAATAGCATCGATACTTAAACAGTACAGTATAGATGGGGGTAGTTGAATCAAAGAATGTTATATCGCTATGTATACAAATAAAACAGTGGATTATTGTGCTCGAATGAACTTTAAAAAAAAAATTATTAGAATACGCTTTGTCAGACTTCAAGAAAAAAAAAGATAAGTATACATTTTAATTGAAGAAGTCAGTACATTAACCATACACTAACTGAAGAATCCCACCCTAACCATACACTAACTGAAGAATCCCACCCTAACCATAAACTAACTGAACAATCCCTTCTTTACCTTGAACTACACGCCGCCATAACCATAACTTAATTGGGTAGACATAATTTTATTTTAATATTCTTACTAAAAAAATTATTGATGTAATATTTAATTATTTTTTTAGTTTGCATTAGATCTGTATTAAAAATAATTTCTTCAGTAGTTTTAAGATTAGGAGTTTAACATTGTACTTTTCTTCACTTAGAAGAAAGTTCAAGCAGGCCTACATATTTTTTTTGGGTGGTTGGGGGGGGGGGGGGTGAAATATTAGAAAGACCGGCTTTTAATGTAAATCAATATACTTGCCGTATCTTATCCAAATATTTTTTTGACAACTGACACCAATACAATTATCTGGGTAAATAAGATCTTAGAATAAGTGTACATCTAGCTGGTATGGTAGGCCTATTCTGTTTTTCCTAGCTTTGTTCGGATTGTCAGGCGTTGTTGGTTGTCTGCCCGTGTCGTTGTAGGGTTGTCTGCCCACGTCGTCGCTGCCTGTCTGCCCCAGTCCACAAGTCAAGAAAGGCAGAACGCCTGAGCAAACATCGATGCCTTGAAGGCCCGCGACGCGCCAGCTCCCAGCGCCTCAGCTGACGATGCCGGTGTTTTCCTAACGAGAGAGATCACTTTGAAAAGGGGAGAGAACCGTGAAGATGACAGACAAGATACGTGTGTGAGGCGTCCAACAAACGCAGATGATCTTATGACTGGCAGACGAGGGTCCCAGATACGGGGGTGCTAGTGGAAGTGATGATCACCATCCCTGGCATCGTGTGTCTCTTCCACCCGCAGACACAAACAGAAGAGTTCTGTATCTTGGACTGCTCGCTTCATAATCAGACAAGCTACGGGTGTTAACTAAACCAAAAGTGAATTTTGACCCTCTGTTTCAGCATGGTTGAGCGAGGCATCCTTTTGTACAATATTTTTTTTTTAAATCTAACTTTACCGACACAGACATGGCCCCAATTAAAAAACACGTGAGAGAAAGGGAAAAACAAGAGGGGGCCTCGGGCATGGCCACAGGAACTGATAAAATTGGATTAGCGTCTGTTTTCTCCCGCTCACCGCGCTGAACAGATGTCGGCCATGTTTGTTTTCTGGTCGTCGTCTGCCCGTGTCCTTTTTCCCGCGTTTGTCTTAAATACGGTCCAGTCATGCAGATTAATGACGTCGTTGATGTTGTTTGCATGTATAATGATTGTATTCAGGGTGGGGATTCACACTGAGGGGAGGGGCGGGGTGTACCATGGCAGTTAACAAGGCGCAAAGCTTGAATGAGAATATAATCTTTTGTTCCTCGGACACACATTTTTAAATGAACTGGGCGCCAAGTCTATAATTAAACCAACTAACGTCGCTCCGGCTGGATTTCACGCTGAATGGAAGAGCCAAGCTCATCGCTTCTGAGCTGAGTTTCGCATGTCGCGCGCATTTAAACAATTAACTTACTTCAGATTGTAAAGTGTCGAATTCGTGTAAAGTTAAAAGTAAAAAGTCGAATTCACGAAACCGGAAGTAAAGCGTTCTCTGTGAACAAGGTACTAAGGGCAACATGTTGGTAGAGATTATATTTTTTGAGAGCAGTCAAATAGTTAGTAAAAAGTCTCAGTAATGAAGTGGTTTTGTTTTCTTACACTGTCACAATTGCTTTTTCTTCAAACGTCTAATTCGGTATTTATCATGGGAGCTTTGGTAGGACACATTTCAAGTGCAGATCAGAGGCGTACAGATCAGTGGCGGATTAAGGGGTTGCTAATAGGGCTACAGCCAGGGGCCCCCGATTTTTAGGTTCTGTATAAACTTTTCAGCTATTTCCGGTAACCGAAAGTGGAACTTATTCTACTTTCAATTTTTCAAAAGCCTATAGCTTGAGCACTGTTTCAGATAGATTAATGAAATTTCACATGTAAGTAAAAAAATCTAATTATCTGCCTTCTGTCAAATTTTGAGTAATTTCCGTTGACCGGAAGTTGTAATTTACGCTATTTCGGATTTCTCAAAAAAAAAAAAAACGCATACAAATTTATAAAGTACTGATAATATTCCGCCCTATTATACACATATTGTGTATATTGTGTACTTGGTGCGAAATTGTTTTTTTTCTACGAGATTCTATTCTATTTTTAAAAGTTTAAGTAATTAAAAATGGATTAAAACTCATATCCATATCCCGAGTTGCCATCCCCCGTTGTGTTATGTAAGAATATTCGAGAAAGTTTAGGGGAGATCACTCCCGGTTTATTTATTTTTAAATTTCGATTGCAGTAGGTCAAATTCCATGTACATTGCATAGTTTCTAAAATCGAGGCTGCCGTTATATGACTACTTTGTCATTGTGAAATAGTTTGTAAATTTGAAGTTGTTCCTCAAATAAAATGAACACAAGTACAAATAAATCACACTCCCCCTACCACCCCCCCCCCCCCCCCCATGTATGTAATAGCTAGCTTTCTAACTGTGCCCCAGTAGCAAACACAAGTCACAAAAATATATCAGCGTGTTAAAATGAGGGGTGTCTTGGAGATTTCTGTTTAAACGTTTCACAAACTAAGAACCAACTACAACAAGAATAAAGTCCTTTGAAATAACAATCGCATAAGTTGACTAAAAATATGGAAATACAATTACATGTTCTTTTGCGAACAACACTTTTAGTTCTGTTATTATAGCTATAGACATTTTTAACAGTTCCCTTAACATTTTTAGAGTATTAAAAAGCTTTTTTTAATAAAGGTTTTTATACTTGTTTGACGTTTACATTTGTTTTAATATTTATATTTTTATATGTAAGATGAAGTCGATACTAAAGTATTTTTTTAAAATGTCTCGTATTCATCTTTCTAAGCCAATGATTCTTGAGTCGACAGCCTGCATGACTAAGATAAAAATTTGCTTTATAAAAATCCCACTAACGACTGGTTCGATTATCTGCCCATAATTACGTCTGATTGTCGAAAAACTCGCATGACTGATCTAACGGTGACTTATCTTCGTCTTTGTAATTGAATTTAGTAATATTTAAATGTATTGCTACTGAATTATTTAATAATATAAACATTGATTATAAATGAGATAATGTTGCATTGTCAACGGTGAGGGAAAAAAACCACTTGAAATCTGCTGCACAAACTGTCAAAATTTAGTTACAATATTTTACCACAAAACCACAGACTGACAGAAAAAACAGGTTGACATTGTGACCCCAGTATAAGCTTGTAATGATAGAAGTGATCAATGATTCTCAAACCACAAGCTAATACAAAATAAAATTATAAAACTAGTAAAACATGTGTAAAAACATTATTATATTTGAACTTTAAGACAAGTTCTAGATGTGTAAATTAAAGAATAATGTTTACACGCTAAAAACACACACATTGATAATTAATGTAATTGATTTGTTTTAAACAGTATTTAATTTAATTTTTAAAAAAGGACACAACACAAAGACCAAGGCTACCATTTAATAAAATACCAGTTTCTATCTCTGGATACCAGTGCAATTTTCATGCATGCAATCTTTCTGGTGCCCAACACAAAGTGTTATGTTAAAACTAAAACTATTTTTCTCTGTGTTTAGTTCTACACGGTATTATATTTTTATGGAACGCCGGTCTGGAGATTCTACTTGGAGTTAAAAGATACAAAAATTAAAAACTATTTTTTCTTCTTCACGGTCTACTAATTTCGTGGAAAATCATTCTGAAGTCTGTTCACGCTGTCTCAAAAATACAAGACTTTAAACCTAAAACTATTTTTTCTGGTTTCCACACAGTCGAATCTTTTCATGGAAAGTCGTTCTGAAGTTGGTGCTCATGGAGAGGAAGATGAAGAGGTGAACGGAGGAGTTGAGAAAGTCCACGGCCATGACGATGTTGGCGCAGACCGTGAAGAGGTTGTTGTACCTCTTGAGGTAGTAGAACTCGGGCTCGATGAACTTCCCGGCATGCAGCGCGAACCTCGGCAGCAGGGCGACGATGTAGACAATGATCACCACCAGCAACATCTTCACCACTTGCTTGTCCCGTGATGTCATATCCGCTCGTTTCGAATCGGTCGAGGTCTTATGGGCGGATTTCAACCTGAACTTGGACATCTTGTGGAGCTGGACGACGATGATGATGGTGCAGACGAGGATGACGACGAAGGCGAATATCGGGTTCATGATGCCGATGTACGTGAAGTACTCGATGATTTTCGGCCCGTGGGTCTTGTAGACGTCGTTGTACCGATGCAGGGCGACGGTTTGGTTGAAGACGGGGTCGAAGACCCAGACGATGTCGAAGACGAAGAAGATGCAGCCGAACGAGACGATGACCATGACGGAGATGAGCACCATCATGAACAGGGTCAGCCTCGGCGTGAAGATAGCCTTGACCTTGAAGGGCACGCACACGCACAGGCAGCGCTCAAAGGCGACGTAGGCGGCCAGGATGTAGGAGACGTAGTTGCAGAAAACCTGAAGGTAGACCATGTTCGGGGCCGTCAAGCTCTTCCACGTCTTCTTCAGGGCCGGCGAGTACCAACCCAGCGGGCCGTAGATCCGGATGAACAGGCCGAACACGCACTTGAGCAGGTCCCAGATGGCCATGGTTGTCAAGGAGATGTTGACGCTGTCGTGGAAACCCTGCGCCGAGAAGACGATGAGGTTGAGGATGTTTGTGACGATGCCGCTGACGGCGAAGACGGAGATGAGGCCGACGTCCAGAAGGTTCTCGGCCGTGTCCAGCTCGGCGTCGGAAATAAAAAGTTGGTTCGTTTTCACCGACGTCGTCGGCGTCGTTGCCTGCGGGGTCAAGGTCGTGTTACCTGAGTTCATAGTTGTTTTTCTTGTTCAGGTATAGCAATATGGGCTGAGTAAATCGTCGCTAGACAAGAAGTAATGTGTGTGACTAGTTAAGGGTTTAGTGTACTCGCCATTACAACACTCCAATATATCTTTTACACTTCTCATACAGAAATAGTTTATTTACTTTTTAAAATTTAGATAATCTTATGGAGATTATTCGCCAAAATCTACACGCATTAAGCAGATTTACGTTTTTAAATGTTTACACTTATAATGAAAACAGTGAAATTGCTTCACCTAATTCCAATTAATAACGGGTTAAAGTTTTAAATAATCGTACTAGTGAAAGTCTCTATGTAACTTCAATAGACATAGACGATTGCATTAGGTTAAATCACAACAACAGAGTTGTTAATTTAACTCAGTAACAAGGAGATATAATTCAAATTACGTTTGATGGAAATATACCCGAGGTTCAAAACTTTTGTTTAACAGTATAAAAACGCAAGAGTCTAGACCTTCGATCTGTCTGCTGAACACTCAACAATCGTACAATAGCTAGCTAGACTAGAACGTTGGTTTATCTTATCAATACTTGACAATACTACAATGACTAGTAAGTCTAGAACTTTGATAAGTCTGATGAATACTCGACAGTACTACAATGATAGTAAGTCTAGAAGTTTGATAAGTCTGATGAATATTCGACAATACTACAATGACTAGTAAGTCTAGAACTTTGATACGTCTGATGAATATTCGACAATACTAAAATAACTAGCTAGCCTAGAATTCTAATCTATGCGATGGAACTATCGTCAAAGACTGCGTTTATCTGTTAAAGTTCTGAGACCTCTGCCAGACAGGAAGGCGTAGAGACAGAAGTAAATCCTTATGGTCAGGTACAGTACGGTCGGGTCATGGCCACAGGTCACCACAGGCGTCCTCACGAGTATGACCAGCTCCACACCACACTGGTATAACATTGGAGGTAGGTGGTGAGAAGTGTAGGGGCCGGGCGTCGGAACCTTTTCTGTCTAGAACATTCTCTTCTGTTTTAACGAGAGCGGGCTGACGTCACGAGTTGGCGAGTTTAACCTGTAATCAAACTTCGATTTGCCTTTATCAAAATATCAGGGCAAGAATATTACAAAAATCTTTCTGATAACGTGACAACCCGTTTTTTAAGGGTGACATTTTTAAATTGTGTGTCATTTGTCTCAATTTTGTGTTTTTTAAACTTGAACAAATTGAAACATGTATTTAATATAAGAACATTGATTTATCCGACAATTCGCAAAGATGAATCCAGTCGTTTATTACAAGTCACATAAAGGGGAATAACCGCGGACAGGATAGATAATCGCTGACAATTGATGCAGGCTTAGAATTTGAGAACAATTACCTCCCTTGCTGGTTTCACGAAAAACGATGGGCGGGATGGCATCGATTAAGAAGATGACACGTTGACGGTTTGAGGATTGAGGTGGAGACGCCTGACAATTCTGGAACCTCTGGAAACAGGCTATTACACGAAAAGAACGGTGCTAGAACTGTAGTTTCGGCGCCCAAGGTGTTTTTTCGTCAAGCTGTTCTTCAATTTACCGCGAAATTTAATCGCAGTTTGTCTAATGTTGGCTTTTTGAAAATATTCGCGCTTTATAATATAGAATTAGCCTCTGAACTTTGATGTAGAATATGACCTCAAGCTCTAAAATAATCTGAAAATCAATATTGTTTTTATCGTAGCAGCGACGTAAAGAATTATATGAGGATATTCGTGTTTTAGATCTACTACTGCTGTTTTAAAATGTCTTAATGTATAGCAACAGGAGACGAATCAGTAACCATCTTGATTTAGTGGTCTCAGGGTACACTCAATCTGCTAGACAGCGGTCGCTAGCATTTTGCAGTGTGATGATAGATAGATAAAAGTCGCCAACAGATTCGCACAGTGTGTTGACAGCTACAAAATAGTCGCCAACAGATTTCTACAATGTGATGACTGCTAGATAAAAGTCGCCGATAGATTCGCACAATGTGTTGACAGCTACAAAATAGTCGCCAACAGATTTCTACAATGTGATGACAGCTAGATAAAGTCGCTAATAGATTCGCACAGTGTGGCGACAGCTACAGAATAGTCGCCAACAGATTCAGACAGCGTGATGACTGCTACAGAATATTTGCCAATTACTGTATACAGCGAGACAGCAGCTAGCTAATAGTAGTCGTCAACAGTTGTACACTGTGTTGAAGCAATTAGATAAATGATCGCCAGTAAATTTAAATAGTGTTGCGACTGTTACAAAATAGTCGCCAATAACTTCATACAATGATTTGGTTGCTGAATAAAGCAACAAGGATAGTCGTCTATCGTTTGTTGTGAAATAACATCAAATAGTTGAGAACAAATCGACTTTAGTGTCAGCTTGAAATAATATTTTACAGCCTAACTCACAGAACTAGTACAGGACTTGTAGCTGTCCTTGCTATATTAGGTCAGGACTTGTAGCTGTACTAAGTCAGTTGTAACTGGACTAGGTCCTGACTTGTATCTGTACTAGGTCCTGACTTGTAGCTGTACTAGATCAGGACTTGTAGCTGTACTAGGTCAGGACTTGTAGCTGTACTAGGTCAGGACCTGTAGCTGTACTATGTCAGGACTTGTAGCTGTAGTAGGTCAGGACCTGTAGCTGTACTAGGTCAGGACTTGTAGCTGTAGTAGGTCAGGACCTGTAGCTGTACTAGGTCAGGACTTGTAGCTGTACTAGGTAAGGACTTGTAGCTGTACTAGGTCAGGACTTGTAGCTGTACTAGGTCAGGACTTGTAGCTGTACTAGGTCAGGACTTGTAGCTGTACTAGGTCAGGACCTGTAGCTGTACTATGTCAGGACTTGTAGCTGTACTAGGTCCTGACTTGTATCTGTACTAGGTCAGGACTTGTAGCTGTACTAGGTCAGGACTTGTAGCTGTACTAGGTCAGGACTTGTAGCTGTACTAGATCAGGACCTGTAGCTGTACTAGGTCAGGACTTGTAGCTGTACTAGGTCAGGACTTGTAGCTGTACTAGGTCAGGACCTGTAGCTGTACTAGGTCAAGACTTGTAGTTGTACTAGGTCAGGACTTGTAGCTGTACTAGGTCAGGACTTGTAGCTGTACTAGGTCAGGATTTGTAGCTGTACTAGGTCAGGACCTGTAGCTGTACTAGGTCAGGACTTGTAGCTGTACTAGGTCAGGACTTGTAGCTGTACTAGGTCAAGACTGGTAGCTGTACTAGGTCAAGATTTGTAGCTGTACTAGGTCAACCTTGTAGCTGTACTAGGTCAGGACTTGTAGCTGTACTAGGTCAGGACTTGTAGCTGTACTAGGTCAGGACCTGTAGCTGTAGTAGGTCAGGACCTGTAGCTGTCCTAGGTCAGGACCTGTAGCTGTACTAGATCAGGACTTGTAGCTGTCCTAGGTCAGGACCTGTAGCTGTCCTAGGTCAGGACCTGTAGCTGTACTAGATCAGGACTTGTAGCTGTACTAGGTCAGGACTTGTAGCTGTACTAGGTCAGGACCTGTAGCTGTACTAGGTCAGGACCTGTAGCTGTACTAGGTCAGGACCTGTAGCTGTACTAGGTCAGGACTTGTAGCTGTCCTAGGTCAGGACCTGTAGCTGTACTAGGTCAGGACTTGTAGCTGTACTAGGTCAGGACTTGTAGCTGTACTAGGTCAGGACTTGTAGCTGTACTAGGTCAGGACCTGTAGCTGTACTAGGTCAGGACCTGTAGCTGTACTAGGTCAGGACTTGTAGCTGTACTAGGTCAGGACTTGTAGCTGTACTAGGTCAGGACTTGTAGCTGTACTAGGTCAAGACTTGTAGCTGTACTAGGTCAAGACTTGTAGCTGTACTAGGTCAACCTTGTAGCTGTACTAGGTCAGGACTTGTAGCTGTACTAGGTCAGGACCTGTAGCTGAAGTAGGTCAGGACCTGTAGCTGTCCTAGGTCAGGACCTGTAGCTGTACTAGATCAGGACTTGTAGCTGTCCTAGGTCAGGACCTGTAGCTGTACTAGATCAGGACTTGTAGCTGTACTAGGTCAGGACTTGTAGCTGTACTAGGTCAGGACCTGTAGCTGTACTAGGTCAGGACCTGTAGCTTTACTAGGTCAGGACCTGTAGCTGTACTAGGTCAGGACTTGTAGCTGTCCTAGGTCAGGACCTGTAGCTGTACTAGGTCAGGACTTGTAGCTGTACTAGGTCAGGACTTGTAGCTGTACTAGGTCAGGACTTGTAGCTGTACCAGGACAGTATTTGTAGCTGTACTAAGTTATTTTTTCTGTAAAGCCCTAGTACATCTAGAAGAATGCTCTTTGTGATGCTCGGCTGTTTTCTGTACCTAGTTATAAACATCTGTACATGCATCTGCTTAATGACATAATTACATATTATTATATACCTATTAACTTTTAACTAAAATGTGATCCATAACGTCTACTAAACGTTTGACATATCTGAACTAAACTATTAACAACTTGTAAAATTTAGGCTCTGGTATATGTGAACAAAAATATGCGGCGTATGTAAAATAAAATATCTCGCATATATGAACTGAACTAAAACTCTTGAGTTATGAGAACTAAAATATCTTGCAATTGGGAACTAAAATTTCTGGCGTGTGTAAAATAAAATATCTGAAATCTGTGATCTAAAATATCAGGCAGAGTGAATTAAAATCTTTCGCAGATATTAACAAAAATCTTTTGCTAGGATTTCTAAATAACGTGAAATAAAAACGGGCAAATCTTAACTTAAATCTTAACGTAAACTAAAACCTCTGGCATAATTCAATTAAAGTATCTTTCTAGATTATTCTAGAACTTCTAGCAAGCTTGACTAAATTGCATTTCTGAAGTATATCCTCTGGTACACCTGAACTAAATGCTAAGGCAGGTTAGGATTAAAAATCTCTGTCATTCATTAACTAAAATCTCTGTCAAATGTTAACTAACATATCTGGCAGTTGAGAATAGCCGTGTCCAACAA